ACATTACCCAAACACAGAGTTGTTGGCAGCATCAGATTTGAAAGGGGAACATGCAGTTAGCTCTGGTGCTTTGCCCTGTGGTTTTTCTGAATGTGGAGGTATAAGCTTTCTTTATTGTTCCTTTTTTCCCTCTCAACCCTTGACTTTTTCCTTTGGAAGAAAGATATTATTAATTTCTCTCTCTCTCTCTCTCTCTCTCTCTCTCCCTCCCTCCCTCTCCCTCTCCCTCCCTCTCCCTCTCCCTCTCTCTCCCTCTCTCCTTTTTTTGCCTTTAAAGAGCATTATTACTTTAAAAAAAATCAAAAAGAAAAAACGATCCCACACAGCCCAATATATAATTTCTATCTCTTTATTCTTGGAGAATCTCATAGAATGTATGTGATCACATTTACCCTCCTAGATCCAATCCCATTTCCCTCCACTCTCCAACTTTGTGTCCTCTTTTTTTTTAATAATCAGAATTCCCCTGCTTCCTCAATCCAAGTTTTAAATAAATAAAGTAGCCTAGCCAGGCCGAGAAGAGGCTACCTGCAGCCACAGTGCTTGGGAGACTAAAGCAGGAAGGCAGACCTGAGGCCCGTCTGCACTACAGAGTGAGACCTTATCTCAGAAACAAAATGATGCAAACACCAATAACGAAAGACAGGAAAGAAGTTTTGTGTGCACAGGCATGTGCTGGCGTTGGCACAACAGGAGAGGTACCAAACAGCTGTTTTCAGCATTGGTTATTTTTCTTATAGCTAGAAACCAGCTGTAAAGATTATAGGTTTGGTTTGTTTACTCTAGCTCTGAAGACAGCGTTGGTCAGATGACTCTCTCCATTGTTGAACTTGTTAATGACTTCACCTGGACACTTACACAGCTCCATATATAGTTTTATTATTGTAGCTTAATTTTTAAAAGTTCTACATGTATAACTAAAGTCAGATTCCTGGCACCCCCCCCCTTTTTTTTTTAAGATGGTCAGAGTGGTAGTCAAGCTGGCCCCTAAATTCCTATGTAGCTGAGAACGAGCTTGAACTTCTGATTCTCCTAAGTGCTGGAATTATAGGTGTGCACCAGCATGCCGTTTTATGCAGTGCTGTGGATGAAACCCATGGCCTTGTGCATGCTAAGCAAGCACTCTACCACCTGCGCTATACCTCCAGCCCAAAATGATATTTTTAATGAGTTTTTGTAACTCCGACTCCAGGGGATCTGGTGCCCTATTCTGCTCTTGCGGGCACCTACACTCACACATGCACACACACGTGCACATGTGCACAAACACACACACAAATACATATAATTAAAAATTAATAGAGCACATGTAAGTGTATTTAGAAATTCCCTTTTTTAAAAAAGCACATTTAAAATTGCACCTTGTTTCAGGATCTTACTTTGGAGTATGTCTTTCTATCATACAAAATTAGTTTACTAAGCCTCTCCTTCCTCTTTTCTTCAGATATCTTCATCCTTAACCCCTTTCTTCCCTCAGCAACTTCTCTTCCAGCTGCTCAAGAGAGAACAGTGAAGTGCCCAGGTTTCCTGCATGGTATTTAGTTAAAATAAGTGAAACTTACCAGTTTGCCTATTTGTATTACTTACTAATGGATACTAGCTTGCTTTTTGATGACTAAACTACCTTTTTGGTTATGTATACAATTGTCTCTTGTGGTCTAAAATATTCCTACCTAGGAAAATTTGTCAAAATATAGCAGAGTGAAATTTTCAGGGAGATAAAGGTAAATTATAGCATGTATGGTATAAAGTTAAGCCATGTTCTCCCCTAGGAAAGCTATTAGCTTGAGAGGAAACTGAATACTCAGTTCCTCAAGTGCACTAACCAGTTAGGTGTCAATAGCCACATGTGGTAATGGCTGGTTCCTGCAGCTCTCACACTCCAGAGCCAGAGTAGTCTAGCATCTGGGATTAAACAGTCTTGAATGACAGAGATAGGTATAACCTGTTAATTGCATTAGAATTATAAGATCATTTTCTTCCCTGGGTCTCATAAATATTAATAAAATGAAAATTTCTATCAGTATATTTAGAAATATAGTAAACAGCTCAAAATTATTTAGAATTTAGAAAAAAACCTTTAGCCAATGTCTTGCTCTGTAGTTGAGGCTGGCCTCCAATTCATGGTCCTTCCTCCTCAGCCTCCTAAGAGGTGGGATTATAGGCATGTGCCACCGTGCCTGGCTTTAGAAGTCAGTTTTTACTTTCTTATCAACTTGATTTTAAAGTTCTGTGGTGACATAAATCATGTATCATCATGGGGTTGACAACATTTTGAAAATGTAGGAGAAATTTTTAAATTTTTGGACATTGTACAAAGGTCAGGGTAGGTAGTGGGTGTTGGGACTTTACCACATTGAGTATATAGAGAAGGTGATGGAGGAGACACGGTCTGCTTTCAAAGACATTCAGAAAAGCAGCCTGTGGAAAATGACCTTTGGAACTTGTGATTTCAGGTTCTAGTTCTGTTATTAGTAGAGCTCAGTTGGAAGCTATCAGAAAGAAAAGCTGGACGAAGAGTTGCTGCCATGATCTTCCAGTCTGGGAACCAACACTGACTTCCATCCTGTCCATCAGGTTCCTTCCAGCTCCTGCTTGCAGGTTACACTCATGCCCAGTGACTGAGGCTATTTAGGATCTCGGGAGACATGTTCATCTGAGAGTCAGGGAAATGGGTCACTAAGAGTGCTGCCTCAGAGATGATGGCTAGGATTTGAAAACCCAGCTCTGGCTCACATCTATGGGAGCATATTGAGTTATTTAATTCCTGTGTGTCTTTTTAATCTATAAAATGAAACAGTCATATGATGTTTCTTCATGTTCTTATCAGGGTCAAGAAATGAAAATACTACACTCATTAAAGACTCCATTCCTACATATTAGTTACTTATCTCAGTGCTGTGACAAAATATCTGACCGAAACAGTCTTAAGGAAGGAAGCGTTGATCCTGACTTGCGGTTTGAGGGTACAGTCCTTCATAGGGAAGGCATGGTGGCAGGACTGTGAGGTGCTGGTCATATGGGCCACAGTCAGAGAAGGAGAGGTGAACATGGGTGCTCAGTCTGCTTTTTCATTTTTTAGTTTGTATTCAGTCTAGGACCCAGGCAAGGGATGATACCACCCACCTTCCAGGTGGGTTGTCCTGCCTCAGTTAAATTCCTCTGGGAACATACTCAGAGACACACCCAGAGGTGTCCCTCCTATGGGATTCAAAATCCAATCAAATTGGCCTTGCAGATTAACCACTGTGTCTTGTTTACTGACCCCTGTTATGTAGGTGATATGGGCACATGGCAGATGCCTAATAAGTATAAGCTTCTGTTTGCTGTAGCAAGAAGCCGACATTCAGAAAACTCCACCATAGTAAAGATAGGTGAGTGTTAGAATAGTGGAAGTTTAGTATTTACTGGATATGACAAGGCAGACTGGTGGTGGTTATTTAAATAAAATCAGCATTTAGTATAGCTGAGTTTTGTTTCAAATCATGGTTTAATGGCTACATAAAATTATTTTTACAGCTTACATTCTTTAAAATTTGTTTATTACTCCAATGTGATAAATATTTAAACTTAAAGGTTCCAAGATTTCATATCAATATTTTGCCCTGCTTGATCTGGTAATGTTGTAATGGCCACAGTTTCCCTGATGCCCTTACACCTTCTGCACCAAGTGGCCAAAGAGGTTACAGGATCCTTTCTCAGCAGGAGCATCTGGCTAATCAAAATAAAGTCTGTCTTCCAGACATATACAGAGAGGATAGTAAAAGAAGATATTATGTAATACCTGTTAAAAACAGGAAATTGTGAGGTACAATTGTTTTTCATACACTGGAGGACAGTTTTCTTCAACGATAAATAGGAAGAGGCTAAAGTGATTTTTCAAGCATTAAAAAGTGTTAAGGTCGACCTGCAAGTGTGGCTAGCTACACATGTGTCCTGGTATTTTCTCCACTGCTGAACTAGACTCCAGAAGAGTTTATAAAGATTTTAAAAATTATTTTGATTGTGTGTATTAAATTAATTATGTAGGGGCTGGAGAGATGGTTCAGCAGTTAAGAGCACTGACCTTGCAGAAGACCCGGGTTCGAGTCCAATAAATAAATAAATGTAAATAATAAATAAAATATTTTAAAGTAATTATGTAGATCTGTGTGTGGGTATGTGCATGTGAGTGCTGGTGCTTATGGAGGCCAGAGGTGTTAGATTTCCCTGGAGCTGGAGTTGCAAGCATTTGTGAGCTGCCTGATGTGGGTACTGGGACTCGAACTCAGCTCCTTTGTAAGAGCAGTATGCATCCTTAATCACTGAGCCATTTCTCCAGCCCAGGTTATTTTTAAAAGGAACTCGGTTTGCCTAATGCATTAAATGCATTAAAATACGTTTTTGCTTGTGTTTCTTGGGTCATGATGATGGGAAATAAAAGACCAATTATTTTTATTATTAATATGATTTACTCGGTATACAATATGAGACACGATGTTATTTGACCTAAATAGTGAAACATGTCTATAGTTAGGAGAAATGCCTTTGTTTCTTTGAGATTTGAATTTGAGGATGACAGCAATTTGAAAAATAAAAAAGAACAGTAAGTCCTTGGAACAGCAGTCTGGGTCCTGCTTCTGCCCCTCCCTGCTCTGGCAAACATCCTGTCAGACTGGAGCTGCTGCCTATTGCTTTCCTTTGTGTGTAGTTTATATTTCAGTAGGAATAGAACTGATACTTGAAATTTTGAGGCAGCATAGTTTACAAATTGTGGATTTTCCTCAGGAGGAGAAACAAAAGTTTAGTGTTTCTGTGGGTTCTAGTTGATGAAGATGCATTTTCCATTTGACTCTTGGTAGAGGATGAATTACACACAGATCTGTGCCATCTTTAGATTTATCTGAACACATGACTTGAGAATGATCAAGAGATTGATTCTATTCACTGTTATAAAAGTCTGCAAGTGCCTGTGGTTGTTTGCCAGCAGGGGAACTCATACTGCTTTCATTTTCTTCCAGATTCATGAAAAACTCCACTACTATGAGAAGCAGAGCCCAGTGCCCATTCTGCATGATGCGGCAGCCCTGGCCGATGACGTAAGTGTGCCTTTCTGAGCTCAAAGGACATGTCTGCTGTAGACCTGACTGAGGCAGAACCCACCCCAGTGCAGACAGATGTATGTGACCCTCTGGGGGAAAACCAGAGGAAGCTGCAAATGTTTCCCAACCCCGGCCATCGCCACGCTCGGGCTGATACTGCATGGATTCCATTCACTCTCTTGTTCTAAAATTGGCCATGTACCTGTCATTGTATTATGCTGTGGTGATTAAATAATAGAAATTTGAGGCTTCAGATTCTATGGAGAGAGAAGCTGTCAGACCTTAGTGTTCTGTGAAACTCACAAGACAAGCAAAATGCTTTGGAGAAATAAAGACAAATGAGATGGTTATATTGCTGACAGTACTAAAAAATGACAGATAGTAGGGTAGGAGTGGGGCATATTAAATACATAAAAGGCAGGATTGTTTCTAAAATGGATTATGAAGTACAGTAAAGATTTATGGATATTAGACCATTCCAAATTACCTTTATAACCAAAAAAAAATTTTTTTGTAGCAGTTGGCATTGATGGAGTAGTTAATTTCCTGTCGCTATAATTTTATTTTAAGCCTGGGGAAGGGGACCTCACTTGCTGATTCCTACTGTTAACTTTCGAATGAATTGAGAGCACAGCTGAGTAGGCTGTGAGCACCCTGGACAAAGAGTGTGTTGACTGTGGGCTGGTGATTCTTCTAGCTTATTTGTTGCTTTTTGATTTTTCCCTAATGTAGCAAATCAACAATCTTCCAAAGCTGATCTTCTTCCATATATTTTATGTCCCAATGCATAACATAATGTTCATGTAATTAACACCCAAACCGTGTGCTGCTTAGTCCCCAGGTATTTCCCTTTGATCTTCATCTGTAGACATCAGTGTGTTTAATGCATATTTCATAAAGAAGTCTACCTGCACAGTATAGAACCCCAACTTTTGAATTAAAGGTGAATAAAGGTATAAATAGAGTTGAGTGAGTAAGCTGTAATTGAAAGCGCCTTAAAAACCAGTATTGACCCAGGCATGGTTGCATGAGCTTTTAATCTCTGCACTCAGGAAGAAGAGGCAGGTGGATCTCTGTGAGATCAAGGCCAGCCTGGTCTACATAGCAAGATCCAGGCCATCTGGGGCTACAGGGAGTCAGGGAGACCTTGGCTCAAATACCAAAAACCTCCAAACCAAACCAAACAAAAAAAACAGTATTAAAGCACTTAACGAAAGCTTTCGGAAGCATTTGTCGAAATCAGTGTACCTGAGCCCACTCAAAGCAAAATATGACAATTTTGCTCTTATTTAAGATTTCTTTTTCTTATTTTTGTTTGCGTGTATGTGTGTGCATATGCCATGTGTATGCAGATGCCCATGGAGGCCACAAGAGGGTGTCAGATCCCCTGGATCTGGAGCTATAGGTGGTTGTGAGCCCCTGATGTAGGTGCTGGGAACTGAACTTAGTCCTCTAGAAGAACAGCGGGTGCTCTTAATTACTGAGTCATCTCTCTACTTCCCAGTTTTGCTTTTTATTTTTTAAAATAAAAATCTATAGCAAGGTAACATTACTCTTAAGTAGAGATGTTTGTATAGATTAAAAAGTATGTAAAGAAATGTTACCTTGACAAAGTGAAAGCAGTTTTGTATTCTGGGCCATTGCCAGTGCCTTTCCATTTTTGCTTTTTGTGTATATTTTACCTCTTTTCTTACAGAAAATTCCTCTTCTAGAGATGAGAACCGTCAGTTCAGCATGGTGGAGACAGTGGGGGCAAATGGATGCTTCATGCAGTGTTTTAAGAAGAGATTGATTAAATGAATATATATTGAATTATACACTGTGTATTTCATAATTCTAATCTTTTTCCTGTTTGAATATTTCTTATAAAAATTATAAGTGGTCAGATGTGGTGGTGCATGCCATTAATTCCAGGACTGAGGAGGCAGAGGCAGGCAAATCTCTGAGTTTCGAGGCCAACGTGGTCTACATAGTGAGTTCCAGTTCAGCCAGGGCTATATAGTGAGACCCTATCTCAAAAAAAAAATTAAATATATGTATAAAATCTTTCTTACAGGCTAAAATTGATAAGAAATCTTGATAGGTACATCTCTTTTTATGTTTTCCATTATTTAAATTGATGAATGATAATGATATGTTTTTACAGGATATCATGTAGTATACTTGCACACACATTCATATTTCATAGGGATCACTCAAGATAATACCTCAAACCTATTTTTTTTTATAGTCAACATTTTTGGTACCAAAGTAGTTGTCAAATTATTACGGGTTTATGATGAACGTGGCTTATATGTTACAGACTTCCTAGACTCTGTAAGTAAACATAATGAATGCTTCAGGTCATTTACTCTATTAGGAATATTCTAGTTCTTTTTACCCCAGCTCTGAACAGCACAGCTACTGTGGGGTTCTGGAAATCCTGTGGATTTCACCACTTCATTCAGAGGCTGTCTTTTTAATTTTTTTGTACAGTGTCAAAGTTTGATCCAGTCCTTTTTACAAATGGTCCTTTGTCTGCATCTGGTGCAGAAGACTGTTCAGCCAGATGAAGTGCTGGGATTTGCCCTCCTGGCAGTAAATCAGAAGGTGATCTGGCTGATGTGATGACTCCAGTTGCACTCAGCCTGGGCTTGGATCTGGTCTACTGTGGAACTGGAAAGAAGAATGCTGATTGATGGTCTGTTTGATTTGATGCTGACTTCTTCTGTAGCACTGAGAAGTAATAGCTTTGAACAACACAGATCCTCAGTCCTGACAAGCTGAACCTCACAGTGCTCTGCAAACTGTTACTGATGTTGATGTAATCTCCCTTGCAGCTGGCTGAAGAGCTTCAGAACAAGCCACTAAGCAGTGAGATCAGAGAGCTCTTGAAACTGCTGTCAAAACCCAACGTGAAGGTGAGGACACGCAACGCCTGTAGTGAACGCCTTCTCCAAAGGCCATTATCGGGCCAGCAGATGGACACAAATGTGCATTCAAATACTGTATATTGTTCTAAAACCCCAACTCTTAGGGAAATTGACCTTTTTTAAAGATTCCAATGAGTAATAAACTGCAGATCTTTAATTGGAAGCTCTGAATCTGAGTTGGTAAATACAGTGTTGCTTCTGGGACATGTTTGTTTCCAGTGAAGTAGGAGTGAGACTAGAGTGTATGGCGATTTCATTGAGGGTTATTTCGCTTGGCCAGGTAATGGTATTTCAGTATATTTGATAGATAGGTTTTTTTTCCATAGGATGATTGCAGCATTTTCTTCCTCCTTCCCTTCCTAGCTCCTATTTCTTGTTCTTACCAACTCATGTTTCAAGATACCATTCCTTGTTACAGGGAGAGCAGTTTTCTAGGGTAAAATACTTGTAAAATACTAGTAGTCCAGACCTCATTTTTCTCATGTTCAGTTCTTCCTAATTTTATCACTTATTTTTCCTTCAAATATGATTTATCTAGAGGAGGCATTTCATACTCTTTCCTAAGTGCACAAAATCTGATTATGTAAAATCCTATAGTGTGTACATTTGGACTTGACACTTTTGAGGTTATATATGCATTACCTTCCCAAATTTCATAATTAAATGATGAATTATGATAATTACTGATAATCATTGAATATTGAATAAAATTTCTGCCAAGATACAAAACTTGGTTTTACCTTCCTGTAAATGACTTTTGGAAACATACTATACTTTGTCTTAAACTTACATTTATTAAAAGATAGTAATAAAATCAAGGTTGATGTAGAAGCATCCATAGACTATAATATCTAATCCCTAGCGTCGACCTATGAATGTATCACTGAAAAAAGACTATAAATGGCATTGTGAGGCTAATTGATTTGTAAAGTTTCAGGAAGTTAGATTTTAGTTCCAGAAGAAGAGTAAAATTGGAGTAGAGAGTCGCATGGTATTACAGACAGTGGGTGGGAAGTCAGGGACTCCAGGAAGGAGACTTGTAGCCAGGGGATGTTCTCAGGAAATGCTCTTCATTTGGTTTTCTACTGCCTATAAGAAATGAATATCAGCCACTCCATGGTGAGGTGAGGTGAGCTGCACGAAGCCTTGTAAGTTCCTTTCTGAGACAATTGTCTTGGTTCAAAAATAGCAAAACATTGAAAGCAATGTTTCAGACCAAAAACTGAAAAAGATTTTGCTATTCTAGCCAATAGTATTTGAAATGAAATTAGCTAATAATAAGGATATTAGTTTGGGTAGAAACTTGGTATTTGGCTCAAGAGTAAGGTATAAATTCAATGTCATTGTGAATATCCATTTGATAAAACTTTATAGTCACCGAACAATTTTAATTTCATCATGTGGAAAATATTTTAGATGGATAATTCTTTGTTTTTATATTTATATAGCAGTATGAGCAAAAAATGGATGAGAGGTTAGCATGAAAAATGTTAGTTTAAGAAATATGTGTGGAGAGTGAATTCCATGCCAGACATGGCCGTCTCACTCGGCTGGCAGCCTCCCTTGGGCTGGCCAGTCTTTAAAGAAAGTAACTTTCTTCCATTTTTGCCTTGATATTTGACACTGATTTCTTTGAAGTCATTTATATTTACTACCATCACTTGAATGTCACCGCTATAGACAATTCCTTTAAAAAGCTCATTTTTAAAATAAACTTTAGTTAGTTTCAGAATGTTATCAGTCAGTTCTGTTGTCCTGGGAAGCAAGATACAGTGGAGCATAATATCTGTCTGTGCGATTCTAATGCAATAATTTGAACATTTTTTAATTTTTAGAGGATAAAGAAAACTATTTAATTCTAGACTGTTATTGTTTTTTAATGATTTTTGTGTATTTCATTCAGAATATCTCATGTCAGCATACACAAGTCCCATGCAAACTCAGCAGACTGAGTAGACTGTTATTCTACTTCAAATATGTAACTCACAGTACTGAGGAGAGACCTGAGATGTACTTTCAAAGTAGTAAGAAGTAACAAGACATTTTCCCAGACATAGCCAAGTACACCAGCACTATAGGACCATATACATAGATTTCACTGATCTGTCACCTTTTTCTTTTTTAAGTATTACAGCTTTTCATTGGCAATTTGCAAATGTCACTAGAGACAGATCTTCATCCCTTCATTCTTAGATGTTAATTCCAGTGCCTGTTTTGTGCCTGGCATTCTGGGTTCAATTTAAGATCTATTAGATTAACAAAGGTGGTAGGAGAGATCCCCACTTAAGCAAAGGACACAGCAGTGATGTGGAGCCTGATGGGATGACGGAAATGCAAATTTGGGTTGGAGGCAGTGGGCAGAGAAAGCTACGGAGGAAGTGGCTTATGGGTAGAGACCTGATGGGTGAATGTGAGGTCGACAGAAGCGGCAGAGATGCTGGTGATGGGTTGAGGTGGGATGTGAGGAATACATGCTTTAGGTAAAGTGAACACTACAAAGAAAAGCTTGTAAAGCTCGAGGATGCAAAATAAGATCCAAGTGACCAGACAGGCTGTGCAGGAGGTGAGGCAAGAACTTGGAGCCAGGCTTGCCCAGCATGGTTTCAGCTCAGTGTTGTTTTTAGTAGTCTTTCTTTCACTTCAGTGGCCATTCTGTTCAAAAGATAAATAGACACAGAAGGACACACAGAAACATATATCCTTAAAAGAACAGTTTTTAAAAATCATGAATGAAGTTAGGAGGAGTACTTTATGTAAATCATTCTAATATTTATCCTTAGTAAGAGAGATTTATTATTTTGACTTGTTTGCCACTGTCTCCAGTGCTACACTAACAATGTGAAGAGTTTAAGTAACTTAGTGAAAATTATGCAGCATTTGGAGGCTTTTTTCTGTCTCTGTCACTCTGTCTTGGTCTCTCCCCCCTCCCCTCCTTCCCTCCCCTCTCTCTCTGTACTCAGTTCTGTGAGGTCAGAGAATAACCTCAGGGAGTCCAGTCTCATCGTTTGCTGCTGTGTACACCAGGCTCGCTGATGCACCAGTTGTGGGAATTCCCCTGACTTGGCCTCCCTTCTCACCATAGGAATGCTAAGATCACAGACACTTGCTGATCTCTCTAATTTGCATAGGTTTGGGGATCTGAACTCAAGCTTGCACAGCAAGCACTTTTTCCCCTAAGCCATTTTCCCAGCTTCATTGTAGTCTCTTTTTCAATCTGTTCATACAATTAAACTTTTTATTCTTATTCTTTAATTCATAATAGCCTAAGATTGTAACCTGTTCGTTTTATCCTTTAGCAGTCTTTTACTTCTGGAGTTCGCTAACCTTTTTTTCATATAACCCCTTGAGTCTTTAATAATTAGGAAATGATTTGTTATTCTGTAGTATTAACCTTACTTGAGAACTATCAAATATTTTAAAGATTATGCCAGTGTTATCTGGTTAGTGAACACATGTATATTACCATTTTGTAAAGGACATATACTCTTGGGAAAGCAATGAAATAGAAAAGAGACAGCAGATCTGAGAAGGGGAAGGTCGTGTATAGCAAGATTCTTGGTACAGTGAGGTGTGGGCAGAACAATGCTGTTGACTTGTGTATAAACACTGATGGAGAGATGCTGTTTCTAGGGGAGAAAAGGCCATCATTAAGAACCACCCCTAGATACCAAACTGCACCAGCAAAGGCAGATTAGCCTGTGTGGCTCATCATTCTGGTGCTCATTTTGGTAAAATATGAAGTGATGATGTCTCTAAAACATGGTATTATAATTTAAGATGTCAGGGGAAATTTGGTAGATTTCTTTTAAAAAGCAATAATATCAAAAAAGATTTGTTTCAGCTTTCTGGAGCATTCACTTACCAGAAATTACTCATTGCCTGAGCCTTCAAGATGGATGAGCCTTCCTTAAAATATGCAGGAGGAGACGCTAAGCTTCCTTATGGAAGGATAAATCAGTGTTCCCCATTCTGATGAACAGGCACTTAATTCTGTGCACCTGACAGTGTCCAGAGCATGGAGTTGACTCCAGGGGGTCCACTACTGAGGCTTGTGAGCCTGGTGAGGTTCAGACCTGGTGTTCAATTTCCTGCAGATGCTTCCAGCAACAGGTAAACCCATCAGTAGTGATTGGTTACAGCACATGAAAACAGAATTTTCAGTTCAGTTTTGCCTTTTGAAAGGAAAAAATCTATATATTGGATAATAAAGCCACCCTGGTTAAAACAGGAAAATGGAATGCAAAATGACTCTTCATTGCCCAAAGTTTGAAATGTTGTTAACCAAGAATTTTTTTTTAAAACAAAGCTCTTAAACATGATAAACTTGGAACCTATAAAATTATTTTGGAATCCAGACATGGAAATGAATCCAAAGCTAAGAAGAAAAGGTGGACAGCTGGTATTCTTAAATATTGCCTGTGATGTTGCAGCTATCTATATTGCTTTATTTAAAAATATTTTCATCAGCCATCTGTTGTTCTCAACGTGTGGGAGATGGTTGACATGGATAGTGTAATTTCATTGTTGGGATCCTTCAGTTGATGATTAATTAAAAACTCTCCATCTCATTGAAAAGTCTTCTTTGTTAAGAGACTTTTGCTGAGTATAGAATGTAGATTGACAGTACTTTTTTCAGGTATTTTAAAGGTGTTGCAGTGTTGTCTCATAGCTTATTTTATGTCAGATGGATGTCACTGTAACCTTCACTCTTTCATGTGCAATGCACTGATTTCTGTTTTGGGTGCGTGGTTTTAGGATTTTTCTCACAGGCTGTGAGGAACTTTACTTAATGCTTCTTGTGTTTAGGTACTTGAGCTTCTTGAACATGTAAGTTTATATTTTTTTTGCTAAATTTGGAATATTTTTTGCCATTTTTGTCTACTTCAGAGTAATTACTCATTGTGTTACTTTTCTGTTGCTGTGATAAAGCTCCATGACCAAGTCAGGTATAGAGGGAAGAGTTTATTTGACCTACAGTTCCAGAGGGATGAGTCCATCGTAGTGTAGGAAGCATGCCAGCAGGAGGTGCCTGAAGCAGAAAGCTGAGTACGCACGTCCTCAAGCAGGCACAGGAAGCAGGGAGCAAAACTGGAAATCTGGCAAGGCTTAAGAACTCTCAGAGCCTGCCCCCAGTGACATGCTTCCGTCAGCATCACCTTCCCCAAACAGTACCAGGAACTGGGAGCCAAGTGTCCAAATACTTAGAGCCAATGGGGACACTCATTCAAACTACATACTCATGTTAGGCTATTTAAAGACCCATAGTTGCCCATTTACTTCATTCATATGTATTGTCTTTGTGCTTCATTTGGATAGTTTAGATTGCTTTGTCTGCTAATTTACTTTTCTTCTGCAGTGGCTAATCTATTTAACCTCATTTTTAGTGTATATTTTAATTTCGTGTTGTATTTTTATCCTCAGAAGTTTGATCTGAATCTTTTGAACTATGTATTTAATATATCATGTTGTCTTCTAACACTTTTTGCATATTTAGAATATAGTTGCTATATAATAGTAGCTTAAATTAATTTTGTGTGAGTGTGTGTGGTATGTGTAATGTGTGTGTGAGTGTGGGAGTGCACATGCCATGACTCACCTATAGAGGTCAGTAGACAACTTTCAGCAGTTGGTTTCCACCATCCATATTGTTTTGAGGCAGTGTCTCTCTTGCTTCTGATGACTGACTGTGTACACCAGCCTAGCAGGCCCAGAAGCTTCTGGGTGAGTCTCCTGTCATCACCTCCCATCTGCCATAGGAATGCTATGATTACAGATACTACCTTATCTAGCTTTTTTATGTGGGCTCTAGGGTTCTAAATTCGGGTCATTAAGCTTGCTCAGTAAGCACTTTCACCCACTGAGCCATCTCCTTGGCCCCCAGCTATAACTTCTAATATCCCTGACTAACAAGTGTGTGATTTTAGGATTTGCTTTTATCTAATCACATCTCTGTATAATTTCAGAATTTTGGGCTATTACCTTTTTTTCTCCTTACAAACACGTTTTCTGCTTTCTCTGGCATGCCTCGTAATCTTTGATGGACTGCCAGTTATCGTGGGCTTTCCTTTGATGCTGAATATTTTAGTATTCTTAAAGACAATATTCTTGATCCTTTTTTTTTTTTTGGTCATACTGTTAAGTTTCTTGGAAGCATTTTGGCCCTCAGAGGCTTACTTTTAAATTTTGTTCAATTAGCACATAGAAGCTTGTTTGTTTGTTTTTCACAATACTGGGCAACATCTGTCCCCTCTGAGGATTTCTCTTCACATTGAGACCAGGAGCTGCCCTTGCCCTGTGCAAGCGTCTGGGATTGTTACAGTAAGAAATTAATCTGTTTCCTCTTACTATATGAAATACTTGAACTGGTATTTATTTTTAAAAGAAGGTCAGAGTTGAACCAGTGAACCAGTGTCCAGTCTACAAAAAGGAGGGTCAACATAGAGGAAACATTTCCTCCATGCTTCCAAGCAAAGCCAGGCATGGGGCAACTGATTTTGTCATTAGGCAGTTTGTTAGACTATTCTGATACTGAGATTTCATTGAGGCAGCTTCTCTATCATGTCTAGAATGCAATTAACCAGCAGCAGGTGTCTTGTCCCTCTGACTCTTAGATTCTTTTCACCCCCTCTTCACGTATTTTTATGGCATTAAAATCTGGCTTTGCCTTGATTCTACGTGTGTGTGTCTTTAAATCAGCAGAAACCCACCTGGGTTGAATCAGTCCCTGAATTCCTGTATTTACTGATTCCTGGCATTAGCATGGCTCCTGAAAGGGCCTCCTTCTGCCTTTGGAGTGCAGTTAAACTTTCTGGAAATGAGCAAATAGTACTCTGCAGGAAGCTGAATTCCTTTTGGGTAAGTCACTTGAACCATTGTCATTTTAACTTTGCACTCACAGAGGGCAAGCATCAAACCCTGTCACAGCTTTGTGCACTGCTTTCTGGAGGGTTCAGTCACATTTGCTCTGGAGAACTGGTCTAGTTACAGGTCATATGCGACTCTTCAGTTTAACAGTGCTGCAGAGGATCTTAAGCTTGGCCCCTTCCCTTACTTATGTACTTTTTAGACATCTCAGACAGGGTTGCTCTTTCAATCAGCAAAAGTTTATTTTTGCCTATCTTAGACCAGACATGAGCTTAGGATATTACACAATACTTTCCATATGTGTTTTAGGGAATGGAAACTGAAAATTATTTTTTAAAGGAAAATGTCTGGTTGTAAAACATGTTTGTCCAAAGCCCAGGTAAGTAAGTTTAAAGAGGATTCCTTACCACGCAGAGTGAATTCTGAAAACTGATATAATATACATAACGGTATTGTGACAGACTAGATGATGGACTCTAACGTGTGGTGATCCTCTAATCGCTCTGCTACACAATGACAGTTTTCACAAAAAAAAAAAAAAAAAAAAAAAAGGTCAGAGTTTTAGAGCCTGAAAATCTAAAATTGCCCCCCAACACACATACTTTTTTTGCCTATGGTAAGGGCTCCTATGGAAGCCTAAGTAGAAAGGGAGCCAGCCCTGGGGGCTAAGTGTGCTGGTGACCTGGATTTATATCAACCCAGTCTTTCAAAAGCTAGGTTCTTTTCTAGGCTATTCATTTGTTCCAAGTATAATGCCCCTAACGCCTGCCCTAGCAGCCTCTGAGCAAGCCCATCTTTTAAAGAGTCCACCACTTCCACCACATTGGAAAGCAAGCCTCCAACACATGAGTTCTTGGTGGAATCTGACATTTTGAGACTCAATAATATGCTTTGGGGAGGCCGGAATTGTCTATAGTATTAGTGAAAAAATGACTCTGTCTATAAACATATTTATATCATTTCAATAAAAGGCAAGACCATCTGATTTGAAAGTGTAGAAGGCATAAAGCATAGGAAAAGGCATAAGTGGGGACTCTTGGAGTTTAGTTAATTTTGCAAAGTAGATAGGTGTTTTACTAACTGAACTATATCCTTAACTCAGAGGAAAAAATGCATATATTTTGAGACAGAGTCTTACCATGTAGCCCTGGATGATCTGGAATTACTTATATAGATCAAGCTGGCCTCTAACCAAAAGAGATCTGCCTGCTTCTGCCTCCAAAGTGTTAGGATTAAAGGCATAGAAAAAAATGTTTGTTTTTTTTTGTTTTTTGTTTTTTTTTTTTTTTTGGATGTTGGGCTGCATGCAGAGATAGCTCTGTAGGTAAAACACCTGTGTCATGTTAAGTGTGAAGACCAGAGTTTGGAGACCCAGAGCCCTCATAAAAGCCAGGAGGGTGTGACAGCCACCTGTAGCCTCATCAAAAGGAAGGTAGATGTGGCATCCCCAGAGCAATCTGGCTAAACAGACTAGCTGAAACAGCGATTTTCAGGTTCAGTGAAAGACTGCCTCGATCTATAATGTAGACAGAGATCAAGGAAGACACCTGATGTCAACTTTGGACCTTAACACTCACTCATGCACAAAAGTGTACACATATCCACATGTGTACCCATATATATGTGCAAACACACATACATGTGTACATAACCACATAAGCACAGTACAAGAAAGTCTTATTAAAGAAAAATATATATTATCTCAGGTTTCTTTTGGTTTATTGGCAATGTTTCAACAGCCTCATTTTCTCCTTCTAAAAGGAAGACCCTAGGCTTTGCCCTAACTGCTACCATATTGGGATAAACTAGAGAATATGCAGGGAAGAGGGAATTCGGTGCTAATTGTTGTCATTTGCCAGTGGTGCCCAGAGGTGGAGGTGCAGCTGAGTAGAGCTGCCTCCTGAAGTCTGTACTGCCTCCTAGTGCCTGAGCACAGGAGGCACTGTGCCTTCTCACCATCAGTATGCCAACATGGTAACACTATTTTGATTTTATTTATACATTGCTAGATTTGGGGCTTCATATCTGATTTTTTTATGAACCTTTGCTTTTACAGGCTTTGCTGTCTGTACATGATACTGTGGCTCAAAAGAATTACGATCCTGTATTGCCCCCTATGCCTGATGATATTGATGATGAGGAAGATTCCGTGAAAATAATCCGTCTGGTGAAGAACAGAGAACCCCTGGTGAGACCAGTCTGCCTTTTATCTTCAGATACGAGCAGATTTCATGGGGACCTTCGTCAGATGAGCTCAGAGCACTCACTCTTCTCTTTAAAAATGCTTCGTCTGAGTCCCCATGTGTGAAAATAAATGGGGCATTCACATCCAGACAGAGCATGACTTAGAACAATTAACATGAACCCAGTAAAATAATGGACATTCTATTTGGGGTTGATAGCAGTAACCTTGAAAATATAACCTACTTGCACTTTTTCAATTTTATGTTTATTTGTATGAGTGCTGTTTTGCCTTCGTGTAAGTGCACCCTGCATGCAATGCCCACGGGAGCCAGAAGAGGGCGAAAGATCCCCTGGAACTGGAGTTGCAATCAGTTGTTAGTGGCCATGTGGGTTCGTCTTCTGGAAGAGCAGCCACTGTTCTTAACTGCTGCGTCATCTCTGCAGCCCCAACCTACTGAGACATCTATAAGAGAAAATGTATTTGTTTGTTTATTTATTTATTCATTTGTTTTAGAGACAAGGTCTCCCTGGAACTCGCTGTATAGGCCAGGTTGGCTTCTGCCTCCCAAGTGCTGGGATTAAAGGCATACACCATTATGCCCAGCTATAAGAGAAAATTTATTATATAGCCAAGTATGGCTGATTGGAAGTTAAATGGTGCAGTTGAAAAATACTGCTTTATATTGTTCTGGAATGCTGATTTATTTTAAAATAATGGAGAGAAATTAATCTGGTATCTGACATTTCACAACATATATAGAACCATTTATTTTGACACTAAAAGCCCTGTAGTGTTAAATCAAATCAAGGGCCCTCGTGTCAGAATGAAACTTCTAGGTTATCCAGAGGGCCCAGTGTAATCACAGGGGCTCTTAGCAAAGTACAAGAAGAGGGTGGCAGGGTCAGGGCTGGAGCTGCACATGGAGGATATAAGGATTTGAGCAGAGGCTAAAGTGCTTTGAGTATTGATGGGCCAAAGAGTGCTAGAGTGGACCCTGGGAACACAAGGCCCGAATTGGCCCCAGAGCTCCAGATCTAGCATTGTGGACTGGTCTAAGACTTGCAAGGCCCGTTTGGCTTTTGAACTCCAGAACTCTAATATAATATAATGTTCTTAAGTCACTAAGTTTGTGGTTGTTTGTTATGGCAGTAATACTAGACTAATAGAGGGGTAAACCATACTTTCCTGATACTACATTCAGAAGAAAAATAAATTACACAATCTAGTAATTGATTTCAAATATGTTGTGCCCCACTTAGAATAAGTAATAACAGTTTTCTGTTCCTGCCCATAGACCTATTTTTGTGTTCTTAAATCAAATAGTAGTTAATAACAGTTGCCAACACTTTGTGTCAAGTATTTCTTCACATGTATTTAATCTCTGTCCTTATCTCCCTATTTTTAGTCTGAAGATCTGATTTTGAAGGAATTGAAGCAGCTTCAAACTAAGATTTAAAAACTAAGATTTAAAAAGGCAAATACTGCCTGTTCCATACCATGTTGTCTCTTTAATATGTTCCTATTTGATAATGTTTATTCTTGTTATATTTAGGGACGTTTTAGGTGTTGATCAATGCCTCTGTAGCTGAATTTTCATATTATATACAGAGACTTGCTGAGTTGTGAAGCTCACCCATAGCTGTCCTCATGCTCCCTGTATTCCTAGTTAGGTGGCTTAATTCCATATTGTGAAATGCTTGCTTTTCTTTCTTTTAAAATAATGAACACTACCTTTGGCATTTATTTTGTTTGCAAAAATCGGAAAGCAAAGGTATTTAATGCACAGTTTATAATGGGAAGCACAAAAGAGCCAGTACTCATTGAGGTCCAGTCCGCTTAGTGAGCCTGGCTGAACACTCAGACCCATAGCTTAGACTGTTTTTCTATCTATCTATCTATCTATCTATCTATCTATCTATCTATCTATCTATCTATCTATCTATCTATCATCATCATCTATCTATCATCTATCTATCTATCTATCTATCTATCTATCTATCTATCTATCATCATTCTGTCTATATCTATCATCTATCTATCTATGACAGGTCTCACCATGTATCTCTGGCCGGCCTAGAACTCACTATGTAGACCAGGCTGGCCTTAGACTTGCAGAGAGTAATCTGCCTCTGCTTCCTGAGTACTGAGAGTAAAGCCATGAGCCACCATTCCAGGCTTGGATTCTTTTTTTTTTTTAATTTAATTGAATTTTTGTGGATTTCATACAATGCATCTTAATCATATTTACCCCCCCCTTTCCTATCTCTACCACCCTATAGCCTGCCCATAGGACTTCATATGTTTTTTCATATATGTTAAGGCCTATCAAGTAAAGGTTGTACACTCAGATGTCCCCTGGTATGAGTTCATCACTGGAGTTGTTCAGCCTGTCTGGCATCACTCCTTTAAAGAATATCAACTCTCCCTTACAGCGGTGATCAGCTGCTGATAGTTCTTTGCCAAAGTTGTGTCCTTTTGCCCACCTCCCCAGTTCTATGCTTGTTTGTGTCTGATTGACTTTGCATGGGTCTTGTACATGTCACCATTTCTGTAGGTTCACACGAACAAGACCCGCACTCTGCAGTCGCTTTTTCTACACTTTGGCCAGTTTTGGCCTTTTGTGTTCATTGCCCTCTGTTGCATGAGGGAGCTTCACTGATGAGAGTTGTATTAATAATATTCTCTCTGCTCCTTGTTCTATGTTCCATGAGCCTTAGGTGTAGAGGTTCCATTGTAAATGTGTCATTTAGGGTTGGGTATCTCACAGACACTTATTTTTTGTGTGTGACCAGTTGTGGAACTCTGTAATAATCTTTCTGTTGCAAAAGAAGCTTCTTTGATAAGTAGTGACTGGCAGACTTGTCTATAAATATAAGGATCCATATTTAGCATATAGTAAGAAATTATATTCGTGTAGGGATGTGACAGACTTAGGGTTTTCTCTAAAATCTATGACATCTCCAGCCATGTGTATTTGGCCATGTTTACAGTGACCCACATGAGTTTTCTCCCACTGAGTGGGCTAAGTCCAATTAGGTATCTGCTGATTACCCCCAAGATAAAAGTGTCACTACTGCACCAATATAGGTTGGTGTGCAGGTCATTGTTGTCATGATTAGACTTTAAAGCCAGAGTTGGACCATCAATTGGTGCTCTCCCTTAGCAGCTTGCTCTCCAAACTATGAGAGCTAGTCTTCAGAGACATGGCTTCCAGATCATTTCCAGTTCCTTTGCTCCATGTCCTGTATCCGAAGTATGTCCTGTCTTTAGCAATAGGGTCTTACCTTCAAGGTCTGGGAGATAATTAAGGACTGTGGTATAGCCTGTGTGACTTTGGGGGTCTCTTAGATTGCCCTGACCAACAACTCGAAGGGAGGTTTCTCCTGTCTGGCACTGTTTCTTGTTACATAGCCTTCAGCTTTTCATCCATGGTTATGATTCTGTAATGGGACCCCAAATTCCTCCCAGCTCCATTATAACAATATTCTTGGTAAGAAATGATCGTGTCCATGTTAATGCAGCACAAGCTGCTTTGGAGGGGGCTGTAAACTTACTCACTCTTGGCAGATTCCATGCATATGTCACTAAGAAATTTTTTTTTTAATTTTGACAGAGTCAACTCTTTATGGAGGTACTTGAAAGACTGGCATTACTGCTAAGTCCAGTAATTCTTCAGCAACAGTGGCTTTTCTCAGTTGTGATTCCCCAGGGGACGTAACTGCTGGTGTGTTGTTTGGCCAGCTGACATTTAAACAGTCATCAGGGGCATGTACATTATTTGCTTCCTCCTGTTTCAGATTTCTCTACAGATTGCCCTAAAGTCTTCTTGTTGGACCCTCTATAATATCCTTTTAATACAAAAGGAGATAATGTGATAGGGATTATGTGATGATTTTATCAGAATAGTTCACACCTTCTGCTAAAAAGCCTGTAGCAACTAAAGTAGTTCTTCAAGCCTTTCATGTCAGTCTTCCCGTTTTATATATTCTGGAAGTGAGTGTATCCTGCCTGTGGGATTAAAGTACCTTTGTGGGCCAGTGACTCCAGGGGCTGTTCGTCTTTGACCTTTCCTCTACTTTAAACTTGTACAAACATCTTTTTGCTCAGTATCTCCTGTTGGATGTCCACTCATGCAGAATTGTGCAGTCAGTCTTCAGCCCTAAATCTGTTTTGTCTATAGTCTTTCCTCACTTTCAAATGATGGCAATTCTAACCTTCTGGCTTCCTGGCCAGATCATTGATTCTTGTGTTTATTTCAAATCCCGTAGCTAGTCTATCAGCTCCACCAGTGATGTGTCAGAGCAATCTGTCATGCCCATCAACTGCAGTCCACCATCTTCTCTCCCTAGGATGGGTGTGATAGCCTTTGTTTGGTTCAACACTAGCTCTTGCCTTCCTTACTTCAGTAGATGGGGTGAGCTTCTACATCTGTGTCACAACCCTGCCTGTTCCTCTCTTTTTGTGCACCCCTCACCTAGTCTACAGAGCCCTTGTGATCTGGCTCCCTGCTTCCATGACCCCGTCTGTGGCTTCCTCTCCCTCTCCCTCCACTGCTCTTCCCCACACCACTCAGGACCTTTGCTCCCCTTGGTTTCTTTTTTTCCATTCACTTACACTTGCACCTCTTTACTGTCTTTCCTTACCCAGTTGCTGTCTTCTCTGTGAAACCTGCCTTCCCTCCATCTGCTCCAACACCACAAGTTTTCTTTCTGTCCAACCTCTTTCTACCCCCAGATATTATAGCTAATCATTTTATCTTGTTTCTCGACTGTCTTCAGTGTTAGAGCATAAGCACCGTGAGGAGGCAAAAGTCTGTGTTGTGCTCACCAATACATTATAAACCCTTAGAATGGTAGTAAGTCCTTGATTAACATTTGTTGGCTTCGTTGAATCACAGAATCAATTAGAGGAATTATCATTAAACACAATAAGCTGTATAGTTCTGCTCTGAAATGTAGCACACTCCGTAGTGGTAAAAGAAGTTTGTTTGTTTTCCCAGTCACTTAAGTCTGTATTATATACATCCTTAAATGTGTGGCAAAAACAATAATATTATCTCTCATAGGTTTGGGGGTTGATGGGTTTAGCAGGGAGGTTGCCACTTAGAGGCCCTCATACATACAGTTAGATGGTAGCTGAGGCTAGCTTCATCTGAGGGCCCTTTCTTTCACACAACTGATACTTGCACTATGAAGTATTTCTTTCTCTAAGTTGCATTTTTGTTTCTTGACTAGCTTGTGCTTCCTCACAGCATGGTGGTACTTTCAATTTCCATATGTGGTAGGTAGAGTTACAGGAGCAAGTGTTACAGGAGACCCTAATCGCAGCTGAAAGTCTTCCTGTAGCCTTACAAGGCTCTAAACAATTTTCCAGCTTGATGTGGAATCATGCCATGCATATACAAGTAGAGCAAAAACTGATATCTCTACCTTAGCACCTAGCTGCCACAGGGTAATGAACCCACAATGAATAAGAATTTATGAGACTAACCTGAGTTCAGTCCCCAGAATCCATGGAAGGTAGAAGGAGAGGACTGACTCCACAAAATTGTCCTGTGCTCTCCACATGAGTGTGGCATCTGCACCCCTCTCCCTATCACGCACACATGTGTAGACAGAATGATAATAGTAATTCAAATGATTAAAAAAGTATAGGAAGCTATAGAGTGTATTTCAAATCAGAAACATGGGCCTTAATGTAATTCTACATTACTGGTGTACTTTTTATACTTTAACAGTATTAAAGGATAGGTAAGAAGACCTCAGATGAATCCTGACTTGACCTCATACTGGTTGTTTCATCTTAGACAAGTGGTGACCATAATTTAGGATTCTGTTATTACCTCTTTTGGTATTCAATCTTTTATCTTTAGGATGATTGAATAAATTTCATTTAGATTCCTAGACTTTTCTGCCATTTGGCATAATTTATTGGAAAGTTTGAGACACATTACTAAGGAATGGAAGTTGGTCTGTTCAGACTAATTATATTTGAGCAAAATTTCATCTCCATTCACTGTTGCTATTGAATACTGGTATTTTAAAGAAAATACCAGTACTTGGTGGAAATGGGTTTGTGGCCATGGAGATATGCCCATTCAAGTTCTTGGCCCTGTAGGCATGCATGGGTGATAAAAAATGCCACAGGAACTTCCTGCCAGTTGATTTTTCATTGTTGTTGTTTTGCGTTTCTTTGTTTCTGTGTTTTTGAGCCTGGCTCACTCTGTAGCCTAGGCTGGCCTAGAACTGTGTAACCTACACTAGACCCCAACTCTCAATGCTCCTGCCTCAGTCTCCTGTGTGCTAGGATTTCAGGTGTGCTACCACCATGCCTGTTAGTTCATTTTTTTATTTCTACTATTCTAGAAACACATATGTAATAGCTGTTTTATGTAAATCGTACTTGCTACAAATACTGTTACTTATTCTTGAGCAGTGTCAAGTGCTTATTGACAAAAGGGGAAATCCTGCTCACACTTTCAGTCCCTCTTTGGAAGTCCAACGTAACGTGGGAGAGCTCTTCTAAACCCATGCCAGTTTCTTGGGAGGAAAGTTATGAAAAGGCTTTCAAAGTGCCTACCCATTCCTGTTATTTTTACAAAGTAGCATTGGTTAATTTGTCTCTGAATTGCTATAAGTAAAGACTTTCTGGATTCTTTTGAGATTACTTCCTAATTTTAGGACAAATTATTGGTCCTAATTTGTACCAGCTACAGTCTGAATTCATTAAAACCATGGTGCAGTAGATCTTCCTTCTGTTCATCTACCTTAGCAACAAATATAATTACGTTCTGGGTTTTAATTTTTTTCTTTATTATTGCCTCCAAGTTCCTTTACTCTCTAACAGCCTAATGTAACAGGAGGATCTTGAAACAAAAAGTCAAATGACCTGAGTTTTGGTTCTAATTTATTACTTTACATTTATTTATATATTAATGTGTATGTGTGTGTATGTGTGTGCACTAGCGCATAGTGCACAGGTGTGGAGGTCAGAGGACAGGCCTCAGGAATCAATCCTCTTCTTCCACCGTGTGGGTTCGATCAAATCGAGGTTGTCAGGCCCGGCTGCAGGTACTCTTGCTCACTGAACCATTTTGTCAGCCCTGGTAATTTATTCTATGATCTTCTGCCTGTGCACATAACCATCACTAGCCCATCTTCATCATGGGATAGTGGAAGGACAAAATGCAATGAGAAAGTATTCTAAAAATAGAACCAAAGACATTTAAAGATGGGGTGTACAGTGAAAAGAAAATATTTCTTATCTTTCACAAGTTTGAAGAGATTTGAAAATCTGTAAACGGTACTGAAACCCTTAGATGCTGTGTAGCTTGGCTTTTCTGTATATTGTAAGGCGTGCCCTAAAGACGATGGCAGTCTCTTCCTCCTACCTTCTCCCTTTCATTCTTTGTAGTTGTTTCTCCTTTTTCCAGATGAAAATCCTTGTTTTGTGTGTTTATCTTGTAACCTGTGCACATCAGTGACTTTTACTGCTCCCATTTTCTGCTTTGAAAGGGTGCCACCATTAAGAAGGATGAGCAGACTGGGGCAATTGTCATTGCCCGAATCATGAGAGGAGGAGCTGCAGACAGAAGTGGTGAGAGTTTCCATTATTCAATGACTGTGGATGAGCTGTGCTGTGTTTTGTGAGTAACAGTTCCAATGCATAAATAAATGGATGGCAGTCTTATTATAGCATAGCAGACCCACTAATGATATTCTCTGTCCTGAAACATGGAGCCCATAAAAATAAACGATAAGTAAATCTCTCTCTCTGGTCTTAGTGTACACAGGCTTCCAAGGTTTTACACACACACACATGTGTGTGTATATGTGTGTGTGTGTGTGTGGTGTGTGTTACCTCAGTGCTGAGGATCCCACAAAGCATCTTGGTTGTGCTGGTCAAGTGCTCTGCTCAGCTCTTTCCCCAGCCTCTGAAGTCATATTTTACATTTTACCATTTCTGATTTGGAAAAGTACATACTGCTAAGAGCATACAGTTTTTAAAAATCAATCTTTAAAATCATTTTAGGACTTGGGAGATAGCTCATTCAGTTAACTGTCTGCTGGACAAGTGTCAGGACATGGGGTCGATCCTTAGCACCCCCATTAAAAACCAAACGTGGCATGCTCTTATGATCCCAGCTCTGAAGAGATGGAGACAGGTGGACCCCCACAACTCACTGGCCAACCAATGTAACCAAATGAGTGAACCAGGCCAGAGAGACCTTTTCTCAAAAAAGAATGTGGATGGCTAGCTCCTGAGGAATTTCACTTGAGTTTGACCAGTGACATCCTCACATATACATATACACATAATGCATGCATACACACACACACTAAAAATCAGTAATGAAAATAGATTATTTTCTAAGTTATCAGTAATGTGCATTTCTTGGCAAAGACCAAGATACTGTTATTTTACTGTGTGGATTCTTCAACAGAGAAATACAGAACCAGAATCCTGGGAGGTATGAAACTCTCCTAACACTTCAGTCTCTTCCAGGAATGATAGACATTTGAAGGTTGTTAACAGTCACCAATAACAGTGTCTTTCTGTGACACTTATGATTTACCAGATTTTGTATTTATCAGGTCTAATTCATGTGGGCGATGAGCTGAGGGAAGTGAACGGGATCCCAGTGGAAGACAAGAGGCCAGAGGAAATCATACAGATTTTGGTAAGCTGTAAATGTATTTTAAATTTGCAATGAAAATTGAATTACTATGCTTTAGATTTTTCAGTCTTGATTTTGATTTTGCTCTCTAGATTCAGAACACTGCTCACATGCTTAAAAATGTCTTAGAAAGTTTGGCCTCGATGTTTCCATTTACAGCCTGAAAGCAGGGAGCCATGCCTGCCCTGATAGTGTGTTGTGAGGATGGATGAGGTTACGGTGCATGCAGAGTTGCAGGTTGGCGTGGACAGGTGGTGTCTGTGCTGCTGCTGCTGTGCATGCCTGTCGTTCCCGCATCGGCGTAGCTCTGCCACAAGCAGAAAGAGTAATGATGTCTTAGGAGACTAAAACGTGAATGAAATTGTTTTAGGTATGAGAAATAATACTTCTTAAGTTCAGGTGTAGGTATAAAGTAGAACCTTTCTCCTTTATATTTGAAAATGTCAACCACCAGTGATAGAAAGATGCTTGAGTACCTCAAAAAAGATGTCTTTATGTACATGCATTAACAGAGAGCTACCCTGTTCTGAGAGAATCATCGAAGGTTTGTGCATTGTGGTGTTACTATTTTAATTAAATATCTTCATCTTCCAGTGGATCTGTTACATGTAATGTTTCACCCAGTGACCAGATTAAAACAGACCTGGATGTCTTTATTGCTTTCTCTGATGGTTATTAATTCAAGTGAATATCATATTTATAACCACAGAAATGATGGTATCTGATATTGGCTTTTTATCTCAAAAACTATGGATACCAGCACTTAAGTGTCATAACCTGATCTTTGTGTGTTACCTGTTCTAGTCATTTAATATTGTGCTCATTTAAAGCAGTGTTCCTATTTTGTGTTTCTATTTTCATGTAACTTGACATAGATGACAGGAGATTTATCGAGACCTTAAAAGTACATAGGACATAAAAGTGGACTTAGTAGCTAACAGACATCAGAGCTTTCTCATATTCCTGGAATTTTTACAAAAAGTTTCCTCAGTTTCTTCTGAGTGGGGTTGTAAGCCTGTATTTCCTGGTTGTATTTAGCTTTCTACCTGTTCTTTTATTTTCTCCTCAGCTCCAGCTTCCTAATGTCTCTTTCTTTGATCTGATACCAGGGTCGGTCTCAGGGAGCAATTACATTTAAGATCATACCCAGTATCAAAGAGGAGATGCCCTCAAAGGAAGGCAAGGTAATCCTTTCTTTAAAATTTTTTTTGCAGGGGGGGGATAATTTTTAAACTAATATCTACTTTGAAAATTATTATTTCTTACATCTAAGTTGCAAGAGTACAAACCACTTCATATTTATTTTTCACATTTATTCTCCAATGAAACTTTCTTCCAGATGTTTATCAAAGCCCTTTTTGACTATAATCCTAATGAGGATAAGGCCATTCCATGTCGGGAGGCTGGACTGTCTTTCAGAAAGGGAGACATTCTTCAGATTATGAGCCAGGATGATGCGACGTGGTGGCAGGCAAGGCATGAGGGTGATGCCAACCCCAGAGCAGGCCTGATTCCCTCCAAGCACTTCCAGGAAAGGTGAGCTGCTGGCCCAACACAACGACCTTTCTTCAAGTGATCTGTTCCCTATCATTCTAGCCCAGTTATGATAAAATAAGCTTAAACTCTGCCTGAGAATCCATTATCCCTTGGGTTTGGATTTCTGTTTTGTCTATGTCTGAGTAATGACCAAAAATAATATGACAGTACCAGGTCATCTTAGGCTTTTGTTGTGAAGCAGGTGGAAACCAGAGTATTAATATCTGAGTGTGTGTCGTGTGGAAAGTTGGGGAAGAGAGAGCAGTCATTTCAGGGAAAGGGAGGTAACGGAAAAAAATGAAAAGCAGACAATTTAGTTCATCATTTGAATAGATTGCCTTGTGTTCCTTCAAGATTTTTCTTAAGATTTTTTTTTTTCTGCATTAACCTTCAACCTCTGTTGAAAGTTGATAGGCACATTGACCTTTTCTTCCCCCAGGAGACTGGCTCTGAGACGACCTGAAATTCTAGTTCAGCCCCTGAAACTTTCTAACAGGAAATCATGTAAGTTTGTTAATAAGAATGCACAGTAACCAGATCCTGCTGTTGGTTTCTGACTGTTAAAGCAGGTGCTCGGGGAAGGAGGGCTCCAAGCATTCTGCAATAGCTTTGGGGGATCATCATCTCTCAGGAACCAAACACAGATGAAACTCACACTAGGAATAGGAATGTAAATATTTTCAAGGAAAAAAAAGGCGGTAGTGTTCATACTAAATCATGACGTGCTCTCTACGTAAATCACTTGTAACCACACCTCTCTGATGTCTAAATTCGGGGGTCTAGTAGATGTAACATTATAGCTCAATCCTTTCTCCCAAGCCAGGAGGTTTGGAGCAGTTATTTCTTAATAAAAATTAGGTATACCCTGTCTCAGAAAGACCAAATCAAAAATAAAAAAAAATTAGGTGCAAACAAAGCTACTATATTCTTGGGCACAAAAGCATTTGTGCCTGAGAACAAGTGTACTACTTCTTCTTCATCTACAAATTGACTGTGAACTTGACCACATCTGTTCAGAGTTATTGCCTGACTGAACTGAAGGAAAATGAGAGGGAGAAGAGGATCATGCAGTTACTAAAAAGCAGTAGGATCGGGGCTCTTTTTTCCTTCAGTTTACCCCTCTCAGCTTTATCTCCCACTTTTTGCCCTCCTCATGGCTTAAGAGCACTCATAAACTCTGTCTCCTTAACTATTCCTTGTGTCTCCATATTCTAGTAAGGACTTTTTTTATACATGGAGATTTTACATTAAAAAGTGAAATGAACAAATCAATAGCCCTGGAATTTTACATCAACATCTGTTTTTGGTATTGTTGGTATTTCACATCTCCTGTTATTTCCTTCAGTTTGTGGACATACATAGCCCAGGCACATAAGAGAGCCAGGCTGCAGCTGAGTTTAAATCTCACAGCAAGCAAATGCTGGAGTGCACCACTTGTTTTTGCTATGTTCAGTCTGCGGAAGAGTAAGCGCTTGTCAGAATGTGTGTGACTTTCTAAGCCATCAGAGCTTAAGGCTTAATGTGACATCATTTCTGTGTGGTGACTACATTGTCACCAGCTAAGAGGAACTGAGAGGCATCTACCTGACCTGCTCTTTGAAGTGATATTGATGAGAGGAACAGACAGATCATACTGAGTACTTGTGAGATGAAATATACCACTGAACAGTGAGGGAAATGTGACTTAACACTCTGATTTGAAAATGTAATCAGCTTTGAAATGTAGCAGCTTAGATATGATTATGGATTATAATTATGAGTTCATTTAAAAAGTTTAATAAATATATGTTTCTTTAAAGACTTATAAAGAGGGGATCATTTTTTAATTGTTCTGACAAATTGGCCTTGGTATAGATGTGTAAGGATTAGACTGTGGAAAGGAGGGGTGTTCATGTAAACATTAGTTGTAAAGGAGGCTTTTGCCCATTGGTTTGTATCATTTCATTTTATATTACTGTTTAAATATTTAGATCTGGTATATACTTATTCCAAGATCAATTTTTTTTTGTTTTTTTACCAACTTATCATCTTAATTTGTCTGTCTGTTTGTTTTTGTTCTCCCTCTTGAATACCATTAGAATATAGGAGGGGACTGGCAGGATGGCTCATGGCTTAAGAGCACTGGCTACTCTTGCAGAGGACCCAGGTTCGGGTCCCATTACAACCAACCTTAACTCCAGTTCGAGGAAATCCGATGTGTCTGGCCTCTGAGGGCACTGCAGGACAAACAAGCAACATAAAATTAAAAATATCCAAAAACATTTTTAGGATATTCTAGGAGGTATAACTCACTGGTAAAATATTTTCCTAGCACTCAGGCCTGGGGCTCAGTTCCCAACACAGCAAAAAGAAAGAGAAAAAAGTAAGTTCTTGGTCCTCCTTGCTCTCTCTCTTCCCCTTCCCCTTTTTCCCCTTTCCCTGGCTCTCAAGGTCTCACTACTCTCTAGGTGTCCTAGATTGGCCTTTACCCTTGGTCCTCTGTCTCAGCACCACCCCCACCCCCAGTGCTGAAATTAAAGATGGCCACCAGGTCCCAGGACCTTGTGTGTGCTAGTAGGTGCTCTGCCATTGAGCTGCAACCCCAGTGTCTCAACTAACTTATAAGAAAGAGATAAATTTCTTTATTTTTGCTTTAGATTGATATATATACACACACACATATAGTAAAACATTGTTCCTTTTTGATTGAAATATAAACCTGTGAGTTAAGAATTGTCCTCTGAACTGTATAGACCTTAATTTAACTTCATTGAGATATAATTTATATTTAAATCTAGTACTTATGGCCTTTAGAAAAGATGGGGAAAATAAGCCTCATTTTTCACAAAGAATAATTTACAATAGAATATCAAAAAAAATTTTTTTTTTTGCTTGTTATTTGAGACAAGGTCTCCCTGTTAGCCCTAGCTGGCCTGGAACTCACTATATAGACCAGGCTGACCTGGATCTCACAGAGATCCACCTGCCTCTGCCTCTGGAGCACTGGGATTAATGGTATGTGCCACCATGCCTGACAAGATTCTTTTTGACAATTTAAGTCTTAGAGCATAAAATTGCAAAACATTTTTTTTTTAGAATTTATTTTAACAAATTTTGAGGTTTTGACTTGAGGATTAAAAACGAAATCTTTAACTTCAGACAAAGCACATCCACTGACACTTGCCAGGACTCTCATCATGGACTAACAATCTCAGTATCTAAACAAGGAGTTCTTTGTTTCTGAGACAGGATCTTCCTGTACCCCAGCTGGTCTGGAGCTTGCTATGTAGTCCAGACTGTCCTAGATCTTACAAAGATTTGCCTTCTACCATGACTGGCTAAGTTTTGCTTTTTCAAAAAGCTTTATTTATTTTATTTAATTTTATTTTATGTATATGAGTATTTTGCCTGATTGTATGGATATGTATCAAGTTGCTGAAGGTATCTGAGGAGGAGTTCAGAAGAAGGTGTCAGATTCCCTGGAACTGGAGTTACAGGCAGTTGTGAGCTGCCATGTTGGATGCTGGAATCCAAACCTGGGTCCTCTGCAAGAGGTCTCAGCCAGTGCTCTTAACTGCTGAGCCATCTCTCCAGTCACCCCCAACCAAAGAGTGAAACAATTAAATCTAGGTACTAATATTTTAGAAGGCCACATTTAAGATGCTACAAGTTATTGTAATAAAGTGTTTCAAGTTGAGTATAAACCTTCCTGCTATCTTCAATATATTTAGTTTTGCATGCATAAAATCAACTCAGAAACAAATTTCTTAAAATAGTTTTGTATGTCTAAAACTTTGTTAAACATTTTCTTAATGTTTGTGGCATTTGTTGTGAACAGAAACACATGGTACAGTTCTTAAAAATACCCATAAGAGGCTAAAAAAATGGATCAGCATTAAGAGTGCTATTACGGAAGACCTCAGTTCAGTTCCCAGCACCCAAACTGGATGGCTCACAACCGCCTTTAACTCTAGCTCTAGGGAGATCCGATGCCTTTGGCCTCCTCGGGCATCTCATTCACATGCACACAAAAGTAATAAAAATAAGTCATTAATAAAAAGATGTGTTAATGTTCTCTTGCCTTAACAAATACCTGAGCTTATCAACTTTATAAGGATAAATGTTTATTTTGGCTCATACTTTTAGAGGATCCAGTCTGTGATCTCCAGCCTCCTTGCTTTTGGCTTATGGCAAGGAGCAGATCATGGCTAGGGATTGCATTTGGAGAAAGGTGTTCCTGTCATAGCTAGGATTTGAGAGAGAGAGGAAGAGAAGGGGTTCCTCTCTCTTCCTCATAGACATGTTTCCAGGAACCAGAAATCTTCCCACAGGATTCCCTTGTAAAGCTTCCACTGCCTCTTATAGCTTGGCAGTATGGGCCTTTGGTATTCCAGATTCAAACTCTGCACTGTAATCAGTTGACACTATTTGGAAGATTCCAGAAGTCAGGATTGTGTGGAAAACGCTGCTGATAGACTAGGCTATACATTTTACATCTAGTTACTCACATAGTGCGGACTCAGTGAACTCCTTGCCTATCTAATAATGTAATTTCTGAAACCAGGTCAGGGAAAATTCTTCAGGTTTGAAGGGTTCTACGTCATGTCCTCGCTTAGATTTTTGTCGTGGAGACCCAATGACATACTGTTAAGAGTTAATGATTAGGGGTCTGATCAGTGAGTGGGCTGGATTATTCAGTTTTAGAGTAGGCTGCAGTAGGAAAGTGAAGGGGGATTTGGAGAGGCAGGTGTCACCTCAGTGGCAGAATAGGGAGCTGGCTGCTGCCCTGCTGTGTGGAGGTCACTGTATTCCCCCCATAGCCTTTCCAGTCAGGCCTTTGAAGATAGCAGGTTGATCCTCTCTGTCCTTGGAGGCCATTCCTCTGTGGCTTTGTAACTTCCCTGTTTTCTTCACTGCTTGAAGCTAGTAGATGGTAGACTCCTGCTGATGCTGGGGACAGGTGCCGGCCTTCCCAGGCTCCCCTGTTAGGAGAAACACACATCGAAGCTGCAGGAAAAGGGCAAGAGGCCGAAGTGTGAGGAAGTAATGGGAGTATACAGGTGGTCTTGAGGAAACAGAGATCCTGACTTCTCCACTGATAGTGTTTTCCCAAGTCTTGAATAATCATAAAACGGTTCTGGTGTTTTGACACTAGTGATTTGACACTATAAACATGTGCATCCAGACTGCCTGACATCTTCCTGTGCCACTTAGGAGATTTTTTCCACCTGTAAAATGGGGTAGTAGTTCTGGCTCCCTAAAGTTGTTGGAAGATTAGGTAACATATCCCAGCTTTCTCCTGAAGTCAGCTCATTGTATATTTCCCCTCATTTTCAAACTCGTCAATTCTAAGGGAACCCTTTGCTTTCTGTACTAGCTGATCCATTAAGCACAAATTTGTTGTGGGGTATTGTGTCTGGTTTTATCATGCTTTAAAAAAATCATAGCCATCTTTCTTAAGAACTATGTAGAGTATTTCCTTGCATACATAAATATGAATTTGAAACCTGTTGTTAGACTCTGAGTGCACATATGCTATAGTAATATAAAGTATGTGTTTCTATTGTGAATTGATGTTAGTGTTTCAAGTTTTTGTTTGCTTCTGTAATGAAGCTTTAATCATCTGATTATAATGATTTGAGTCTTTAACCAAGGGTGTAATATTCAACTTATCATATTATTCCTATCAAAAGATATATACCATGTTTAGCAATCTGCTTTATAGCAGAGAACATGAGATTTTTACAATGATGGATTTTTTTGTTGGACTCTGTGTGTGTGTGTGTGTGTGTGTGTGTGTGTGTGTGTGTGTGTGTGTGTGTGTGTGTGTGTGTGTGTGTGTGTGTGTGTATGTGTTGAGATAGAGTGTTCACTGTGTTGGCCAGGCTGCCCTCAAGCTCATAGCAGTCCTTAGTCTCCTGAGTGCTCGATTGCAGGCATGCCCTGCCATGGTCAGCACAGTAACTGACCTTCAGCCAGCTTGCGTGATTTCCATCATTCCTTGATGACTGGCTTGGCTAATTCTAATAACATGTTTATTCTTTGTTCTCTGATCATTTGTTTTGGATGCCTGCTAACATTGCAGAGCTTATCACAAAATATGCATAGATCCTAACTGAATAACTCATAACATGAGCCTGAATATTAACGCTTACCACATTTGCTAATTCTGGTCAAGTAGAACCGTCACAGATTGACAACCCATAGGTATGTGGAAAGTGAAAGTACAGCAATGTTCACTTTCCCCGAAGCTTTTTCTCTGGCTGCAGCTCTGCAGCTTGGGGATGTTCTCATCACTTCTATGTACACTACACAACCATGCTGTGAATAAGTTTCACCTTGTCTCAGGGTCAGATTTTGTTGTGGATGCATTACCAGTGTTCTTTCCATCATTAGTGTACATAAATCTTCTGATCAAAGTTAACTTTTAAATTGCTGTCCAATGAGTAATTCAAGAATATGAAATTCTTTTGAAAGTACAGGTATGTATCTGTAATCTCAGAAGGCAGAGGGCATAAGACCCTGCAAGTTCAATGTTAGCCTGGTCTAACGAGTGTGTTCCAGGACTATATAGCAGAGTCCATCTCAAAAATGCTAGATAGATAGATAGATAGATAGATAGATAGATAGATAGATAGATAGATAGATAGATAGATAGATAGATGGTAGATCAATCTATTGATCTTTCATATTCTGGAACCCACATAAAAGGGACGAGAGGAGAAGAGACTCTACAAAGTTGTCCTCTAAGCACACGTGCGCACACACACGCGCGCGCACACAAACGCAATCAGAATAATAAAGTATTTTTTAAGTTTATTATAGAGATAGCTGCTTATCCATGTTTATCATGGTGCTATAGTGAGTTACAGATAAAGCCTAGGTATCTATCAACAGATGAAGGAATAAAAGGAATGGGATATATATACACAAAAGGGTTTGCTCAGCCATAAAGATGAATGAAATTGTGTCATTTGTTGGAAAAGAGAAAGAAGCGAATACCATCATGTTAAGTGAGACACGCCAGTCACAGACAGACAGACAGACAGAGACACACACACAGACACACACACACACACACACACACACACACACACACACAGAGCATGTTTAATCTGGAAACTGAGGGAAACCAAAAAGATATATAAACTAAGAGGGAAAGGGAGGCATGAAAGATGTGGAAAAGGTAAAGATGAGTAAGAAAAACTAATTGAGAATGAACACGATTGAAGCACATTATATGTACGTTTAAAATGTCAAAACGAAACCCATTTTCCAATTGATAAATGCTAAGAAAAAATAGTAACCTGTGATACCAGCCTCGGGAGGCAGAGGCAGGAAAATTGCTGTAAGTTCAAGGCCAGCCTGGTCAACATAGTGAGTTCCTGGCTAGCCAGGGCTACACAGTGAGATCCTGTTTCAAGGGGGAAAATTAATGAAATACCTTTCATGAAATAATATAGACAGGATGGTAATAAATGGTTCCACCCAACTCATTTGATATATGTAATAATGGACTGCTGCCAGGATACTGTTGAAATTACAGAATACATAAAATATTTTAAAGGCAAAACTTGTTTCTAAAATCCTTTCTTTTGATTATTGTTTAATTTTCTTAAAAATTTCAACTTATTGAACAGATTTATTCACAAGCCCAATCATTCTGTTAAAGTAGAGAAAATTTCTTTATTCAAGGTATTATTTTGAGAAAAAATGTTGACAGTATTTTTTCTGGTTATTTTTCTTATTTTGGTTGCTTATTATAATCTCTATGAACACTTCCTGTTTTTACTAAAATGCATCCATTCTGTAAAGACAGGCCACAGTGCATTCTAAAATCCTATTTATGAAGCAATAATTTTGAAATATTTAAAACGTGCTTTTCCCTCCTTTGGCTTTTCTAAGATGAGGAAACAGTTGAGTGTGGTAGGTAGATTTTAATTTCTTTCTTGGCTATTCCAACTTTGATTGTTTTCTGTCAGTTTAACCATCTTCTTTCTCATTTTCCTTGTGCTTCTCAGAGGAAATAAAAGGTACATGTATAAAAGTTTCCCTGTGTAGTTAATAATTCATTTTGTGAACAGGAGTGTAGTATTAAATTAAGTATATAAAGCAGTTTTGACAGAGAATGCTTGTTCATATAAATGTCCATCTTTACATTTCAATACCAAAAGTCATGGTTGGATTTTGTTTTGGAAAGAAATGTATTTTTTTTATTCATGTGGGGATGGAGTTCAGAGCTTCAGTCGTGATAGGCAAGTGCTGTCCTGCAGAGCTCCACCCCATCCCTCTCAGATACTTGATTTCTGCATCATCTGTGCTGTGCTAGGGGTGTGTTTAAGTAACTCTTAGAGGCCAAAAATAATGAGTGCTCCATTGCTTAAGTTTTTAGGATATACATAACCCAGCATTCATTTAATTCTTCCAAATAGAGTATTCGTTGATAAAAAATATTTTTTGTTCCTTTTAAAAAACACAAAAAGATAAAAGTGTTATTCTGTTCCTTCCCAGCATAAAATCACTAGCAGTCAATAGAAAGGGCATAATATATCCTCACCTTTTTGACTAATCCAGCCAGCCAAAATAAATGTTATATTTTGCATATTATCAAAGAGCTGATTTGTAAAAGTAAATTTACTTTGGGAGTCAACTGCTATAATTTTCTTTACTGTGAAAGCATAGACATTTCAGATAATTTGAAAAATAATTTTCTTGGAACTGCATCAAGGAACCTCTGAAGACGATTGTGAAAACAAGCAAAACCCTGCATGACGGTTCAAAATAGTCAAACTTAAATATAAAGCAAAACGTTTTATGTTTAAGAACAACGTCCTAAGGGCTACTTTTCCGTGCTGTGCTTTACATGACTGTTGCAAAAGACTGACTTTTGGCATCTGTGGCTCCTAACAGCTGTGCTTTATCTCTTGACTTCTGTTCGCTTTTACACTCCATGCAGAAGATGCTGAATATGCTGGTGTCCACAGCGGGACTTACATAGGTGAGCATATGTACATATGTGCATAGGATGTACATAGGTCATGGAAGAGGATGTCTTTGCTTTCTGTTGCTTTCTTCAAAATCATTATATTATGTCATTTTAAATTACCATGTTTGTGCGAGCATGCGCTGACAGTCGGGCAAGCAGGACCCTTGTATTGCAGGCTCAGTGGGCTGGATACAAAGGACTTCACAGTGTGCTGTGGTTATTGTGCTGGAAACTATCAAGATAAAGCTCCACAACTGGTTTTGTGTTTTCTGATAGAGGATGAGCATGCATTCCTCTGGTGCTGGTAGTTTTATTCAGTAGCACTTTCTTCATTCATGATGATAAGATCTCCTAGTTACTGAAGATAGTGTATTTGGTACTTAGCATATATTGTCTCTGATACACTGAGGTTGGGGTATTATATGCATTTTGCAACTGTTAGAGTAAGGCCCAGAAAGTGTATAGTGCTCATCTAAGAACCCAAAGACGATAAATAATGCCTCTGGATTCATTCCTTTATATACCCATATAAAAACAATACCTGGGCACTGTCTTCTCTGCTGCTGCCTTCTGGATTTTCATTTTATAAAACATATAAGAAATTCTATGTAGAAGCATGTAGTATTCCCATTTCTGATGTTTGAGATCACACATTATCAAGTGACCAAACTGAAATCTCAGTCCTCTCATCTACATGTCACTGGAGCATAGAGAAAAGTCTAAGAGAGGTTTGGGTAATCATTAATCCTTTCTCCATGTCAGAGCAGTGCAATGTGCCCAGTGCTGTTGACTAATACCTCCCTTTGCACTCCTGACATCCCTAATGGCTTCACACAGCAGTACTTAGGACCATAATTCTGAGATCAGCTCTGTGATTCTGCTCAGGCTCAGTGGCTCTTTGGAGCTTAATGGCTGGGCTGGGATCTGGCTGGTTATGGGACGCTCAGCTGGGTGAGCTCATTTGTTTCATCTGGTGTGTGTGTGTGTGTGTGTGTGTGTGTGTGTGTGTGTGTACCTGCACATGTCAGTACCTGCACATGTGAGTGCCTGCATGTGGAGATCAGAGTTCAGCATCAGCATCAGGTGTCTTCCTCAGTCACTCTCACCTTGGTTTTTTTGAAGCCGGGTCTCCAGTGGAACCCGAAGCTCGCTGCTTTGGACTAGCTAGCCAGCAGGTCCCAGGGATCTGCCTGTCTCTACCTCCCGTGCTGGGATTACAGTGCATGCTGCCACATGTGGCCTTTCCATAGGTGCTAGGGATCCAAACTCAGGTGCTCATGCTTGTGTGGCAAGCACTTTGCCTACTGAGCCATCTCCCCAGCCCCTTGTGTGGCCCTTCACCTTCCAGGAAGCTGCCCAAGCAGGAGCCTCAGGGTTCCTGACCACAGAAAGAGA